TGTATTTTATGTGTGGCCTAAGACAATTCTTCTCCTTCCAGTGTGTGGCCCAGGGAAGTCAAAAGATTGGGCACCCCTGGTCTAGAGCCTTCCACAATTTGACTTTTAGAATAGCTTGCTTTGGCTTATTATTTTTCATATGTATGTACATCGTTTTCCAAACCATATAATACAGGTATCCTTTTTATTTATATCCCTACCACAGCTTAAAATAGTGCCTGAACATAGAAGACAATAGTGTTTGATGAGTGACTAATAGATAACAGCAGTTTCCAGCTTCTGCCAATGCTTATGCTATATTATAATTTATCATTTCTCCTTGAGGTGACAGGGAACTCTTGTAATAACTTTAATAGCAAGTCTTCTTTTGTGCTAATATATTAATTTAATCATTTATTAACTTTCTAATAATACGCACCAGCCACTGTCAGGTGCTAATTATTCAAAGGAAGACAAGCCACAATCCTGACCAGACATGAGGGGTGTTTATCATCCACATAGGAGATAGGCATATCATTTAAAATGAAATATCAATTGGTAATATATTAATGAAGAGTATATATTCATAATTTAGGACGAAGGAAGTGCTTTTTGCCTGGCATAAAAGGGGAGAGTTTCAGGGAGGATGTATGTGAGCTCCATCTTAAAGATGAGCAGGAGTCAGCCACAAGAAATGGTGGTGGTGTTGGGTCCTGGCAGAAGGAAGAGTGTGGCCCATAGCGTGAGGCACAGGCATAGTTATGCCTGGGGAGCCCTAAAGAGGGCGCTGCTGAGGAAGATGGAGCTGGAAATGTAGATTGGAGTCAAAGCACGAAAGACTCAAATACCCTGGGCAGAAGCTAGGCAGGCAGCCAGAAAGGCCCTGAGGTGACTCGGAAGGGCCAGCTGGGGCAACGGAGAATGAGGGGCAGGGAGACTGGCCAGGAATCATCGCGGCAGGCCTGGTGTGGTGGGGAAAAATTCCTTCCGTGCATGCTGTAGGGATACATCATAGAGCCTGAAGCATGCCAAGAGACCAAGCAAGGGAGCGTGGTCGCACGCATGTCATCCAAGCCAGAGGAACCCAAGTAGCGCGGCTAGTTAAATGGCTTTGTTAGTTAATATGTAACATGTCACCTCAGTAGTGAGCATCTCTGGCAGCTGCTGGGACTGCAGACGCATTGTTGGTCACACTGACCCAGACAAGTAGTCAAGGCAACTTTCACCACAGATCAAGCAACAGAGTCAGCAGTAGGTGGGGCAGGGCAGTCTCTGTGCGAACATGGTGCTCAGCGAGTCACATCTGCTCCAGTTGTGTAATCTCCGTGGTCAGTGAAGCAATACTGTGCTTACAGTTCTGTGTTGTGCTTCTCCGGGGGAAGGGGCGTATTTGGCCTATGCCCCACCCTAGACCTCCTTTCTCTTCCCTCTTTCACCACGTCTTCCGGGGCTGGCTCAAGTGCAGGAGTCTTTCAGCCAGCTCCCTGCCTACAGCCGCCCACTCACCAGCCCTTCATGCATGCCTCTGAGAGTCTTCCGTCCTAAACCACCCTGTGCCCTTCAGTCCCCTTTTAAAGAGCTTGGCTTTGTGAAGCCTGGACAGTGAACATCCTTAAGCCCTTGGCAGCCTCCCTGAATCCACTCCCCATTATCCTTCAGGAGTCCTCCCATATGGTCAAGCAGATGAATTCCCTATTTCTTATTCATATCATGCCGCTTCTCACCTCTGGCAACCCCATCTAACATGCCTCTCCCTCTTCTGTCTTTCAAGGTTTCATTCAAACCAAATTTCCTTCATGAAGTCTTCTGCAACCACACACCCCTCAATGAAGCACCCTTCCTTACTGTGCACATGACCCCTGTGGCATCTGGCAACTGTCCCTGGATACCCCCATTTCTCTTTCCAAGGCAGGGAGTTTTCTTGTGTTTCCTTGTAGTCCGAGTATCTAGCAGAATTCTGAAAAACAGCCATTCAATGAATGTGTGTTGATAGGGATGATTCTGGCACAGCTTAGGGGGCCAAATAGATGCTAAGTGGTATTAAGAGTGATAATAGTTTTTAAGTAATAACAATACCTACCATTTATTCATTGCAATGGGTCGGTCACAGTGCTAGACCCATTACAATCATCATATGATTGAATCAGCATAACCTCCCTGTGGCTTGGTATTACTTCCATTTTGCCGATGAGAAGTGACATACCTTGACCAAGGTCAATGGCTAGTAAGTGGCAAATCTGGAAGTGGGCCAGTGTTCTGCTTCTCAGCCCATACTCCTAACCTCTCAACATGTGTCCTGTGCCCTAGCTGCATATCCCAGATTACATGGGATATTTTTCTTTGTTTTTTTTTTTTTTTTTTTTGTGACCATGTTGCTTCCTTATCCCTGTGATTGGGTTTTGCCCACATCTCTCATATGAGAGCAGTCTTGGTAAGAAGCAGAGAGAATGGAAGTGATGTCACATACCAGAGTGGTCAGAAAAATGAGACTGCTCAGCAGGTGCCGTAAGAATGGATGACTCATGCCTTGTGCCTTAGAGTAAAGATGGCAAAATGAAAAGGGAGTGGGGAACAGAGAGATGCTGACAGATGACGAGTGAGCACAAATGTTTATCCATGCTAATGGAGTAGGGACGTGATAGCCACTCTGCTCTAATGCTTATGAGGAGCAGTCTCTGGGCCGCAAATGCAGGAGCACAGAGAATCTTCACCCTAGTGGTAGGGAACCTAAAACACTGGGCTGCAAACAATGGCTGGAGCATTTTTGTAACAGTCTGTCCCATGAGGTCCAAAAGAAAGGTCATAGACAGCAAAGACATCCGGTATTTCCTGACACTGCCATCCTCTGGGCTCTGGGGGAATCCAAGAACATGTGCAGCACTGCCCTGGGAGAGGTGAGAGGCTGGAGAAAAATTACTGGGGTCCAAAGGAGTGCAGGCCTAGCCTTCCTCTCACTCCCAAGGCCAACCCAAATAAATATTTGGTGCTGCTTTCAGAGTGTCCTCACGTGGGACCACCACCACCTCCCCTAGGCTTTCTGTCCGCAGCCTCCCACCTTAGGCTTTTCCACCTCACCCTACAGACTATCTAACTTCTCTACGGTAGAGCCAAGGAGTGAGAATAAGGGAAAAGGCAGCCAGAGGTTCTAAGGACCCCAAAGTAGTACCACATTCCCCCGTTGGTCTGTGATCCAACAGTACTGAAGTGGATAGCCATTTGCATGGGATGCAAATGTCTCTTCTTTGTAAATGTCCCACTGCCTGAAATTCCATCATTCTAGCTTTACTTTGCTTCCATTATTCCATAATTTCCAGGGGAAGAAAACTTTACCCAGCTAACACCTTGATCAGAATCACTTCATCACAGATCAAATACATCCACAGAGATGACGGAGGAAAGGGAGAAGAGCTTAGAAAGACAGCTCCGACTTCATCACCTTTTGGTCTTGGTCCTCCTGCCTTGGGGATATAACCCTCTCTTAGTTTGTGAGAGAAAAATATCCGTGGTAAGAAGAAAGATGTCAGGCCTAGGACAGCAAAGGAAGCCTCTCAGTAACAGAAGCAACTCTGATTGTGTGAGCAGGCTTCCTGAGTGCTGTCCTCTCAGGCTACCATCCACATCCCTGGTGTCATCAACTCTCTAGGGACAGGAGCACAAAACACGTGGGAGCCACCACTGCAGGAGCTGCCTTAGTGACAGCAGCATTCACCAGAGGCATTTGAAGGCTGCTTGTTTCATCCATAGCGTTGTCTGGGCTTTGAGAGAGAAATCCTGCCTGCACCAGAAGACTGAGAAATAGAAAACCATTGGCAGTATCAGAGAGTTGTCATTAGTGGACAAGTACACTGGCTGAATTCACTAGTGCTGTTATTACGGTCGTTACTTTAATTCCCAAAGAGACAGTCAGTTGTTGGAGAACATGGGCAGTGGTCCTTGCTTCCTAGGAGGAAAGGCCAAGGGAAGAGAGATGTTCAGGGATCATTTCTGTAGAAAGCAGACGCCCAGGTGTATTTTTTTCCCCACTGCTGCTGAGCCAGACAGCATCCCTGTGAATTTTACCAGCGATATTGTGGCACTGAAAGCATTCTGTTGTGTCTTTGTGAGAATCCGGGGTCCTCTTTTCTCCTTAGTCTAAGTATCTACAGATAAAGTTGCATATATGTTATATATGTGTGTGTTTCTCCAGATCCTGTGCATACATATAAGTCTGCAGTGTGTATACCTGTATCTGTCTCAACGGCTGGATATAATATAGATGTGCTGCAGCTCTCCATCCTTTACCAAAGAAACAAAAAACCCAAAAACCACACACACACATGTGCGCCTGCAGACACACACACACACACACACACACACACACACACACACACACAAATAAATAGAGAAGAAGGAAGAAAAGAGAACTGCCAGGAGGAGGTTGCCTTTTCTGTTTCAGGGGACCTCAGCAGTTCTTCCCAAAATAGGCTTCTGTCCTTGCTGGGCAACATCTAAAGGAGACAACACCACACGGGGCCCAGGCAGGGGTCATGGAATCAGACAGTGGGGTTCAAATACTCACATGTGCTGTCGTGACCTTGGTGGAGCAACTCAACTTCCCAAAGCCTCAGTTTCCCCATCTGAGGAAGAGGGGCAGTCCTTCCTGTGAAGAAACCCTGCCTGCCCGGTGACAAATGCTCAGCAATAATCTCAGGTTTCTTTCACAAGGAACAAAACTGCTCATCCTAGAATTACAGCTCAAGTTTAGTCTCGCTCTGTCGCCCAGGCTGGAGGGCAGTGGTGTGATCTTGCCTCACTGCAACCTCCGCCTCCTGGATTCAAGTGATTCTTGTACCTCAGACTCCCGAGTAGCTGGGATTACAGGCCTGCACCACCACGCCCAGCTAATTTGTATATTTTTAGTAGAGATGGGGTTTCACCATGTTGGCCAGGATGGTGTCAATCTTCTGACCTCGTGATCCGCCAGCCTCAGCCTCCCAAAGTGCTGGGATTTCAGGCGTGAGCCACCACATGGAGGCTTCCAGGAGAGATTTGGTTCATGTCTGCCCTGGCATTCAGAAGGTGACAGGTAGAGTCTGGAAGACTCTCAGACTAACTCCTGTAGACCCATGCCCTCTGCAGCCACGGAATTGGCTTCTCATTCGATGTTGCTGCTAGTACTCTGTGTAGCCCAAGCCAAGCCGGTTCCCATCTTTGGATCACAGTGGACCCATCAAGGGGCTCTCTGGAGTCCTCCCAGTCTGCCTTTCTGTGCCTGGCCACTCCAGTTTTGCAGGACACCGTGCTGGAAAATGACCTTAAGGAGTTACACTGACTTTGCTCCCACCTCCGGGGACTTTGTAGATTTGAGTATGTGTGTGGGAATGAGGTCTGTTTTATTTACTCTTCCTAATGAGGCTGAACCAAGCTAGTGAGGGCATTAAAACATTTTAGTGTTATTAGTTTTAAAATTAGCCTGAACTGTTAAGGAGAGTCCCTGCTCACTTGCTTATGTGAGAAAGGGGCTTCTGAATGCCAAGGTTGAATGGCCATCGTCTTTTATCCTAAAAAAGACAATTTTATGAGCTATGCATTAGAATCATCAGGGAAACTTTAAATATAATGATTTGGGGTGCTAGGCCCTACCTTCTCCTTTGTTTCACTGGCCCTCCCTGGACATCGGGGGGAGTGGTTTTTGCTCTGTGTTTTTTAAGTTTTCCAAATGGTTCTCATGTGCAGCCAGGGTTGAGGCCCACCAGGCTAAACTAAAAATATTTTCTGGGGTATGTGGGAGGCAGGTGGGAGGCAGGGCTGGCATGCTGCCCAGCTGTGTAGCATTTCCTGCTTGGTAGATGCTCAGGGAGTGTTTGTCAGAGAGCTCTCATTGGATGCTTGGCAGGGCTAGAGGTGCTATGGACAGAGGGCACCTGCGGGATCGGTGCTTCTCAGTCCTGAAACGATTATTAGAATTCCCCATTGATCTTTGAGAAAATACAGATTCCTAGGCCTCACCCAGATTTGCTGGAACAGAACCTCAGGGGGTAGGAATGAGGAATCTGTTATTCCTGTTATTCTTAGGAATAGTGAAGCTTCCCAGAAGATGCTTTTGATTCAGAAACCACCAGGAGGGGAAAACTCGATCCTCATTTCCTAGGAGCGAAGATTTTACATTTTCCCTTTGGCCATCGGATGGCCCTAGAGTTCACTAGCTAGGCCCCTTACTCGCCATGGCACCCAGACAAGGCACTCAGCCTCTCTCAGCCTCTATTTCATCATCTGTAAAGTGGGAGCCATCATGGTGCCTGCTTCCTAAGAGTGTTTCGGGGATTAAATGAGGTAATATGTGTGTTTGGCACACTGTAGATACTCAGTGTGTTAACTGCCATCATCATCATTGGCACTGTCATTTTGTAACTCAGATAGAAGCACACTGTAAGAGCAATTTCTATGGCTTAAAGAGTATAAAGTAAAAAATTCTGGCTGTAAAGTCTGAGGCAAATCTAGAACTAGTGGGGGGTAAATTAGTTCTAAACTTGTATCTGAACCAGAAGCTTCACTGGAGAGAGTTTGAGTAAGATCACACGTGTAAATCTTAAGACCTATTTGTTAAGAATACAAAGCCATAATTAGGAAAACAATGAGGTCCTGATTGTCATCCAGAATGAATGAATTAACATGCACTTATTGAGTACCTCCTGTTTGCTCAGCTTTGTGCTTGGTGGCATCACATATAAAAAGGACCAGGCCGGGAACAGCAGCTCATGCCTGTAATCCTAGCACTTTAGGAGGCTGAGGCAGGTGGATCACTTGAACCTGGGAGTTTGAGACCAGTTTGGGCAACATGGTAAAATTCTGTCTCTACTAAAAATACAAAAATTAGCTGGGCATGATGGCATGCACCTGTTGTTCTAGCAACTTGGGAGGCTGAGGTGGGAGAATCACCTGAGCCTGGGAAGTTGAGGCTGTAATGAGCTGTGATTGCACCACTGCACTCCAGCCTGGGTGACAGAGTGACACCCTATTTCAAAAATAAAATTTTTTTTAATTAAAAGGATTGGGTTCCTTTCCTTCAGGGAATTGGCAGTCTGGTCTGGGAAGTACAATTAGCACCCTTTGAAGAACAGGAGCAGGATGAGAGGATGTGTAATTAGGTGCTAAATTGTGTCATTGGGACTCTCCAGGGCTAGATGATTCAAGGATGATAACTCAATGAGCCATGGAGGTGGCTGGGGGGCACCTCTTGGGAGAGTAGGGAGGGACCTGGAGTGGGAAACTGCAAGCAAATCCAAAGAGGTGTCCAAGGAGGGGCCTCGGGCAGCAGCCTGGGACAAGAGTGACGGCTGAGATGGAAATGATGAGTAGCTGCCCTTTCTGGATGGAAGGTGAGGATCCCTGTTGTCCTGAAGCTGCACAGCCGCTTGTAACTGGGGTCCTGTGGGTCTGTGGTCCCCCCGACAGCTGGGGTAGTCTTCAGGCATGCACTCCATGCCCCGTCAGGAGCCGGTCCTCAGGGCAGCGTCTGCCCAGGAAGCCGTGGGCACACTTAGAACGGCCCAAGAGCACTGTCTGTGGGAGGCTCTTGGCTTCAGGGCTGAACTGATGGCCACTGGGTGGGGTGGGCGACAGGAGAGCAGGTGGCCTCCTTCCTCTGTGCCATGACTTACGGGGCATTGGTAGAACCCTGTGTCCCAGAAGTCAACCTCATATCCGTGGGTCTCAAAAACCTTCTGATCTTACAAAGTTACATTTTTAAAAAAATGGTTAGATTTTAGACCTTAAATTCTATGATCAGGCAAGATCTTAATTTTGGGCCAGCAATTTTGCACAAAGGCAGGGCAGAATTTCCCACAGAAGGTGCCTGATCCATGATTTGTTTCAGAGGTGAAAATGAGCAAGGTTCTGTTTGTTAAATGAGTATAAGAAATGCACCAGCCTAATCCCCCTCCTGGAGAGTTACAGAGATGTTCATTGGCAGTTTGAAAGTTCAGAGAAGTCCTGTAGTAAAGAGCCCTGTGTGGCCTGCAAACTTTCTTGACCTCAGTACCCTTCTCACATAGCCCCTGTGAATGTTCTGGGCAACCCGTGACCCAGCCTGGTCTCCTTTGGAAAGAACCGGAGTGATGAGGTCCTGCTAGACTCAGCCTGAAGAGCCTTCTATCTGCCTCTTCATTTTCTTTTCTTTTTTTCTTTCTTTTTTCGAGACAGAGTTTCACTCTTGTTGCCCAGGCTGGAGTGCAATGGCGCGATCTTGGCTCACCACAACCTCCTCCTCCTGGGTTCAAGCAATTCTTCTGCCTCAGCCTCCTAAGTAGCTGGGATTACCAGGCATGTGCCACTATGTCTGGCTAATTTTATATTTTTAGTAGAGACGGGGTTTCTCCATGTTGGTCAGGCTGGTCTTGAACTCCCAACCTCAGGTGATCTGCCCCGCCTCGGCCTCCCAAAGTGCTGGGATTACAGGCATGAGCCACCGCACCCGGCCTGCCGGTTCATTTTCCAAGCCTCATACACTGAAAGGAGATTCCCAAGATTCCCCAGCCTGGCCCTGCAGGGGTGGGGAGCTCCAGAACCCAGGTCTGGTTTAATGTTCCTTAGTTGTTAACCAGCTATAATGAAGGCTGAGAGGAGACTCTGGGCAGGCTTTACAATTGAATCAACTATCAGTGTGGTTGCGAGGCTACTTTGAAGACATTTTAGATCGTTTCTGGTTCAGTAATTTTACAAAAAGGAGTATGATCCAACTGATTTATTAGGAAAAAATTTGTAAACTTTGGTTCACTTACAAGAAAGAAGTGTTTGGGTTTTTGAAAAAGATACTGCCTTTGAGGCTGGCTGAGTTTCGTGACTGACTAGTGTTTGTGAACTGAAATCTGGCTGCCTCTGCCACTCAGTGAGGCTTGCATAGTGAATTCCTTGCCCAAGGCCTTATTTGTAGCTATTAACCCATTCACCATTCTCTCCTACTTCTGGGACTTTCGAATGGAGGATGCCTGGCCTGTGTCTTAGAGGAGCAAAGGCCAATGTCAGGAACATAAGGTCATCATGATTGCTTTCCCTCCCTGCCACCCCCACCACCTCTGCTTGCTAGTGCCAGGCTGCCCAAGTGCTGAGAATGCCAACGTCACTCTTCCAAAGGAGGCAGGAGGTGACTGTAGCATCAGTCCCTTGCCTCATCCATACTCTTCATCTTTTTCCAAAGGCACCACTTCTTGGAAGTTCCTCCCCTTGTGGCTCTAACCTCTGGGATGCCTGGGGACATTTCAGCTTTTCTGGGGGCGGACTGTCCTTCCAGCCCCTCGGAAGCTCCATCAGTAAGCCAGGGCTTGGGGTGGGTGATGTGCCAACAGGGAGTGGCCACTTACCTTTGCTACTGTATCTGCCCCGTCCTTAGAGGGGTTTAAATACGTCAATAGCTCCAGTGGTTTTTTTTTTTTTTTTTTAGTGTTTTTAACATGTTGACTCTTACATAAGATTCATTCAGTATATACAAACTGCTCAATAAATATCCCCTCAAGAGAAGAATGGTATTTTGGTCTATTTTGTCTCTCTGGCCTATGTGTTCTAATTTGGGACCCGGGAGCCTCTCGGCTCCATCCTGGGGTTGGCTGCTCCCAGACCTCACTCGCACTCTGGCTGGGCTTGCAGCCTTGACTCTGGTGTGGGGCTCTTGTGGCCCCGGGGCGGGGCTTGGTAAATGCAGAGCCCACATCACAGCACCAAGTGGGGAGCCCAAGAGCAGGGTGCAGAGCTCCTCCTTCTCCCAGGATGGAGGTGGGCATCGGGCAGTGGGATCTTCCCTGGTGGGTTCCATGTTACCAGTCCAGAGGGACGTGGCTGCCCGCTGAAACCGCTAATATGGGCTCATGAATGTGGCTGCCGGTCACGAAAGTGCCTTCCAGGTGGTAAAATGAGTGAAGAAACCTGTGTTCATTTGCTGAGCTGCTGTGGCAAAACACCACAGACTGGGCGGCTCACACAAGAGACACAGATTTCTTCTCAGGTGGGAGGCTGGAGGCTGGATGCTGGAGATCAGAGATCAAGGTGGCGGCAGAGTTGCTT